AACAGGGTGGAGAACCCTTCGGTTTACGACCACGCCATTTTTTCTTTACTAGATGGAGGTCGATCGACCTCCATGGATCCTGCCCTTGAACGAGTGGGTAGATCTCTGTCATCAGAGTGAGAATCCAATGACTGAGGACGTGATCGAATAATCGTTCTGCATTTAGGGGCCAAAGAAGGACCCGCACGGACACCAGAGGCTGGTGCCCGAGGAGGTTGACCCAGGCAATCACTGAAAGGAACAGTGGGAACAGAGATTGGAGTAGATGTAGATCTATCAACTCTATTATCCATGGTGGGCAGAAGACCCCGCACATGGCATGAAAAAAGACTCGGATGGAGGCACGGAGAGGTCCGTCTGCACTCCCACTGTAGCAGTGGAGCATTGTGCAGAGGCATATGTCCGAGATGTAGTAGGGAACAATAGCTTCCGAGCCTCAGGATAAGAGATGTTATTAAGAGTCTTCAAATGCTGTACCTCTTTCTCCTCCACCCACTTAGGGCAAGACTTAAAGTAAGAGGGGTGGGAACCACTACAATTAACAGAGTTAGTGTCCATTTTGCACTCGTAGGAGTCATGGTCCTTGCCACCACAACAAACACACGTCACAGAACCATGACAAGATGTCTTTGAGTGACCAAACCGCTGACACTGAAAACATTGGAGAGGGTTGGGAATATATGGCCGTACCTTACAGTTCAAATAACCTGCCTTAACGGCGGCAGGTGGACGTGGTGATGAAAACGTCAAAATCAAAGCTGAGGTCGGCACCATAATTCCATCTTGATGAGTGGAGAGCCTTCGAACTGCTGAAACTTGGGGATAGACTTCAAGTCCCTCTCAACAATAACTCCTCGTGAGGAATTCAAGGAAGCGTGGGGAGTAACCTCCATGGGTATATCCCCAATGGCCTTAGAATTCAAGAGGAGTTCACTGTGCTTAGATGTGGATGTTTCTACTAAGATGTCTCCAGAACAGAGCTTCTTAACTGACTTTGGAGAGCCAGCAAGCCTATCTGAATAAAAAAGTGAGACATTTGCCCTAAAGGTTTATCGGACAATGAATGCAGGATCAAAAAGCGAGGTACAGGTGTACTTTGTTGTTGTTGTTCAGAGTCTTATAGGCGTGGTCGTTTACCAATTAGCAGATTTTTAACATTTTTTTTAATTGGGAATGGGGGGATCCATAATTAAGGAGAGAGATTCAGTGCCCACTGACCCCACCCACCAGGGAGTCCCACGAGGGGACGTACTACAATGTCAAACAAGGACATTGCAGCAATGCCAGGGTTTCGTGAGCACTATACCCAAACACCAGTATCAGACACGATGTCCACAACACCCATTGAGGATGCCCAACACTGGTACCTAGTCCCAGTGAACCAGCCGATTGACCCTAGGGGGGCCACCCGTCTACAGGAATTCAAGGCCAAAGTGGTGTGTTTCAGTGCCCCAGACAGCACTCAACCACCAGGATCCTCTCCTCCCCTTCACGGGTCGCCACGTACGGCAAACACGTGGGTACCTCCCAGGGAAGGTTCTGTATTTTCAGTTACTTTCTCTGGGATCTAAACATCCCTCCTCACCACGTACAGGAATCCACGTCGAATTAGGAACGAGTAGCTTTGTGTGAAATTCAAACCAAACGAAAAGTATGTTTGTTTGTTTGTAATTAAGCACAAAGCTACACAATGGGTTATCTGTGCTCTGCCCACTACGGGTATCGAAACCGGGTTTCTAGCGTTGTAAGTTCGCAGACATACCGCTGTGCCACTGAGGGGCCAAACGAAAAGAACAATAATAATAGTAGGTTATATTATATTAAAAATTTCCTTCTTTTCTGAAAAATAATGTGTGATTTTTCAACAAAATATGTATATTTATTACATTTGATTTCGTAGTTATTGACCTTAAAATATAATGTAACACTCACCAATTTAAGCTTATAGATAAAATTTATAAGATTTAATATAGACCGACTCTTTATTTCTTAAGGACAATGTCAGAAATTTCCAATGGTAAATAGCCACAAAAGTAGATATCCCATAATGCCTTCGTATAACTTACTGTGACGTCATTTATAATGATAATGGTGGCATCAGGGTTAGCTTAAACTGGGCTAAGTTTGTTACTGCTTAGTAAGATTATTGTTTCAAGTTTTCTGTATTCCCAGACTTAGAATTTGAGTTTTTGATTGATATATTTCCTGTGTGGAAATGGCGAGTGCAGGAAGTTCGTCAAGATCAGATTTTATCGTTGGAGCGAAGTACAGACTTATACGAAAAATAGGAAGTGGAAGTTTTGGAGATATTTATCTTGGCATCAACATCACAAATGGCGAGGTTAGGTCTTATTATATAAGTTATATTCAACTGTAGCAGAGACTTTTAATATGCAAAATTTACTGTTCATGTTTTTTAATTCATCCTTTTGTGTTTACAAGTTACACCTTTGGATGTGTAAAGATTGGCTTTTCCAAAAAAAAATCTGTAACTCCCACAAGTTATCGTAGCTGACCTAATTATTATTAAGATATTATCACTATATGTGTAATATTACTAATATATTTTAGGAACTAAGACTAATGTGTAGGTATATTTTTTATAAATTGTATATTACTGGTAATTTAATAAGGGACTAAAATCTTAGGTTTTAAACAAGCTAGAGTAATACTTTTAGGATTAAAATTTAGACTAAGTTATCTTACCAATTAGACATTTCATTAGCTGTGATTTAATGAACTAGAAGAAAGGAAGTTATTAACTGTGCAAAAGTAAATTAGCTTCTCATTGCTTGTCATTGACCTAAAAAATGACTTTCTAGTAAAAAATGAAATTTGTATAGTGGATGTTTTAATTTTACCTCATTTTCAGTTAATTATTGTAGTAGCTGAGTCTGTAAAAGAAAATACAGGTCAGCTTATGCTTATTCATATAATGCTACTATACCATTGTGTTTTTATTGGGATTCAGTGTTACTATTTCAGTTATTTTTAACATTCACAATTTTTTTTTTTTACATATTGTGGATGCTTTTTATATGCCCTGGACACTCATGTTTTATTTTTCCCAGGTTTATTTAAATATAACTGCTTTAATTGTGTGAATAACTTTAACTGCATTGCAAGATAATTCCTATCTTTCTTGTAATTTGATATATAAATATTTCTTGTATGACCATAAACATGTAGGCCTGTTTGATTTCAGCAACAATATTTTGATTTGAATATATGATGACTGACATAATAAAACTGGTGATGCTACAGGCAGTAGTAACACTGCTAGGTTTTAACATATCATAACCTATGGACAACCTATAATAAACTGCAGTATAAATTTCTGTTAAATTTCAAACAAATAAAAGAACCAAGACTATATACACACCTAAACTGATCAGACAGGAAAATTGAGTTTTAAATAGTCTTGCATCTTTGATCATCTAGTGCTATGTTCCATGAACTGTGCTGGTTGTATTTAAACCTTTTGTACATGTAGTGATTTCTCCACATCACTGCCTGAGTTATTATTATTTTATCTTTGTGATTCACAATAGGATCTAAACAATATGCTGATACTTCTCTTCTATAATTATGCAGCTTTTCCAAATATCACTTGAAAAAGAGTCTACAGACCACATGTTTGGAACTGCTGCTCTACATAGAATATCTGCATTGGAATGATGTCATAGTTTAACATGCATTTTTATGGTGTCTTCAGTAATGTGCTCTTGAAACTTCACCTCTAAATCCCCTTTGGATTTATTTTTCATCTTAGATCTGGGAGGTGTTCATATGGTAGCAAGTGTCAGATGTCCTCCCATCTAAACCTTCAACAGTTGAGACTTGATTCTGGCACAGATTTAACAGTGTTTTGCAGCTTACACCTGCTTCTCAATTTGTGGATCTTTTCACTCTTGACTGTTCCTCAAATTTTCTTGGATGTTGATATCTTCCAGAATAGTCTTCTAAGCCTACTTTTAGTTTCATCTGTATCTCATTATGAACTTTTTAGTTGTGATGAACCTTACAAATGTATTTTCCAAGAGCATGTGATCACCAAATAAAATTTTTGTTGTGTACTTTTTTCACACACAGCTTCCTTCCTCTAAGTTCTCTGTATCAAATGAAAAGTCTTGTAAGGGTAGATCAGCTGTGACACTCATTCTTTATATCCTTACAATACTATTATGTACCATATGCGAATGAACCAGACGTTTTTTTTTTATTCCATAAAAAATACACTAACTTGTATTTTGTAGGTATACTTTATTCATTTGCTACTAATTAAAGAAGTGTTGAAGACTGTTGACCAGTTTTAGTGACTTGAAACATCTGGGATATTCCTACTTAAACTAGTGTCTTTATGAATATTTGTTGTTAATTTGTTTTCATTATATATATATTATATAACTTCTGTGTTATCTATCCTTCAGCCCATGTCTGAGATATAGTATAACTAATATTCTTGTAAACAGATACACAAGTTTTCTTACGATATACATATTCATAACGAGCATGTATATATATGAAACCTTTATGTTATAATTAATCCATGAAATATCTGAGATTTGTAGAAGTAATGTTATTCCTTTATGTTTTCTTACTGTGTGTGTGTACACACATACATACATACAACACACACACACACACACACACACATATATATATATATATATATATATATATATATATATGTTAAACAAGACCGATGTCTGTAGGTTTACTATCTTCTTAGAATTCTTC